CGCAAACCTAAATTTGTTCAGCAAAGGAATTTGAGTCAAATAAAAAGATTAACTGGTTTTTCAACTGTTTGGCAGCTTCCTGAGAGCTTTTAAAAAACTAAAATGTACAACTGCAAAATTGTTATATATGTAATATGTATTTAAAGCTATGCATCCATCAGTGACTTAATAGGATTCAGTGAGAACACAGACCATATTAAAATGCTATCCTCTATCTTTCAGTTGACAGAGAAGCATGCCAGGATAGTTTGCATTACCCATTTCTATCAAAGAATGCTACTCTACCATAAGAAGGTATGAAGGTAGTAAGTGCTCCTGACTTTATCATTTGAATACAGGACAAATTAAGGAAACGTAGATTTCCCTGGCTTTGTTTCCCCTCTCACCAATGAAGAAAAAAAACCCCATCAGTTGTTGTGTTTAATGTTTTGAGCACAGTGAAACAATTGCAGGCTAGGATGAAGAATTTAGGACTTTTCATGCTGCTTGAGAGACAGATCAATGGCACATATCTATGACCTGCTGTACATAACTTTTAGTGTCACCTAGCTATCACAGTGATATTATTTTCATGTTATATCATCACACAATGATTGGATAACTCAAAAAGAAAGTGATGCACAAGGGAGGTAAGAAAGGAGTTCCCTCAATGCACTGAGCAAGACAGCTCCACAACCCTCTTCTACACTGATTATATGATCTGTCGGCCAGGCTATATTTGGACATGGATTTAGCATTCTTTCAAAAGAATAATTTCTGAATTCAATATGATAGATTCCAAAAGGATTGTAATGCAGGATACAATCAAGCCTTGGTCCATCAACATCATAAGAAATGGCAACCCTAGACAAACTTGGCTGATCTCAAAAAGCTCTTAGGGTTGGCCCTGGCAAATATTTAGACAGGAGGCCACTAAGGAATCTTTTTTATATAAAAGTTTTTTATTTTTCAATTTTAAAATATATACATTCCATCTTTCCTTAAGCAGTGTGTCTGAGTGAAATCAATGAAACAGATACCAGAAGACAGCATAGTAAAGTGCTGCATATTGTTACCAAGAAAACCATGTAAATATGTGGGAAACCATGTGAACATGTCCATATCAAGTTAATCTTCACTAGGCTAGTCATCCCCCCCCTCCTTTTTCTGCCAAAGTAGGTTTAAACTTAACTGTTCGGTACTCTGATTATCATGTTTGCTAAAACAATTCTGAGGATTGGTGTAGTTGTCTTACATTTTACAAAAATGTCACTATCTATTGTGGAAATCAACACAGGATAGCCAGGATGTTTCCAGTCACATTTTTAAAGGTCTCAACAACTTTCGTTAGGAATATTGATTTTAAAGGGGTGCATTTTTGTCAGCCAGTAGAGGGCATTGTGGTCATATTTTTTACAAACACAGTTCTGATTATTTATAATATTGGTAAATTTCAATAATTATATACTTTAGTGTTTCAGAAATCTATAGGGCTAAATTGCTATTACTGATGTCCACATTTAATTTAAGAATTGGTGAATTGTTTTGTTTGATTGTTAAGGAGTGGTAAATATAAATAACTCTGCAGGATACTGTCTTTTTCTTGGATTGGGGAAAGCCATTCCATATAGTGAAAAATTCTCAAAGAACTGGAACAGCAGCATCTAAAAGGATCTGAGCAACAAGGTAGGAAACAAAATTCTTTTTCTTTTTAGCATGAAAGACATATGACATCCCTAGAGCATGGGAAACTGCTTTTATTCTAGCAAGTAACTATTGACCTGAGTCCATTTTCTACAGCCCGTCTTCCCATAATTATTGAAAACTTCAGCACTGTTAACTGGCATGTTGAGATGGGAAATGCATGAAAATTACAGTGTTACTATAAACAGATATATCAGAATTTAAAAAACATACAGACAACTCAAAGCTCTCTCTCTCGCTCTCTCTCTCTCTCTCTCTCTCTCACACACACACACACACACACACACACACACACACAACCTAGTCCAGTGGTGGGTTTCAAAATTTTTAGAATATCTTCTGTAGGTGTGGCCTGCTTTGTGGGAGTGGCTTGCCAGCCATGTGACCGGGTGGGATTGGCTTGCCAGCCATGTGACAGGGTGAGCATGGCCAACTTGTAAAATGTGGTGAAACTCATTTAACAATGCTCTTGCTTAGCAACCAAAATGTTGGCTCAGAAACTCTGGCATTTGAAGCACGCAAGTCTTCAAGCTGTCAAGTTACAAGACCCTTACACCCCTAACCATTTAGAAAAAAAAACCCAGGGGTGTTCAAACCTCACAGCTTTAAGACTTGTGGACTTCAACTCCCAGAATTCCTCCTCCAGTCATGTTGGCTCAGGAACTCTGACATTTGTGTGCAAATCTTAAAGGTATCAAGTTACAAGACCCTTGCACCCCTAACCCTTTAGGGAAAAAACCCAGGGGTTCACAGCTTTAAGACTTGTGGACTTCAACTCCCAGAATTCCTCCTCTCACTCTTCATCTTGATGATGTGCGGATGGGCGGTGGGGGAGAGAGCTGGAATCGGTTCTAAACGGCACTGTAGATTTGTGGAACCTCTTCTATAGAAGAGGTTAGAACTGGCAGGAACCCACCCCTGACCTAGTCCCATCTATATGTATAACATCCTTAGCCCTCAATTACTATCTCACAATGAGGTGACTCTTAGTAAAATGTATGTCCTTCTAAAATATGTCCAGAGCTTTCTTAAATAAAGTTCTACTTCCAACAATTAAGAATCCTATACAAATTGGAGAGGAGCTGTAAATAAATACATCTTGCTTGTACACAGTATATACTACCACAAAGAAAAGACCAGTAACTTACTATAGAAACAAGCTGAAAGGAATGGGGCTTTTACAAGAAATTTGGTGTTGGGGTTTTTTTTGTTCTTTTTATCAAGGTGCAAAAATCTCTTGACCAAGTTATGAACAATGTAGGAATCTGCTCTCTGAAACTGAATTAGCAAAGCACTATGGGAAGCAAGGTGGAGGCCATAATAAATAACATACTATACCGGTATTTATGTACCACTGTTTAATATGCTGACCAATCTTTAGCTGAAGACTGCAGGGCTAGTGGAGAATCAAAGCAGGAGCACAGAAATAAAATATTTGTGTATCTGCAACCTGCTAAAGCTTGCCTTAACAGACATATCAGCTGCCTCTTGTTTTCCCTCTTTAGCATGCAAACTATGCCCTAGTGGTGATAAGAAAAGTAATTGTGCGATTCAGGCCAGCCACATGATTCACTCAAAATATATTAGTACGGGGACATGAAGACTGACATTTGAAAAACACTTGGAATTTATTGCAGCTTCTATTGTTCAACTGATATCCAACTCTTTTCATTTACATAGGGCTTGAGTTCACACTGACTTTTAAACACTGCAGTTTCAGAGTTTCAGATATTATCTCTTTCTCAGAAAAAAAAGCAATAAATCAATTTATTGCCAGTGAGAATTGTCCAATGACCCGCTGCATTCTTTGAAATAAAAACATATTTGTTTCAAATCCAAATTAATCTAACAATAATAGGAACAGCCCTGACATTTTTATGATCAGAATTGACTAGATGAAATTTCACAAGACAAAAATATTGTTTCCTAGTATTGTTATCAACAACCCTTTCCTTGTGGCACATGTACCTGTTATATTTAATCTATGGCAGTGAGGAGCAGAGGAGCCTGGCTTGTACAGAAACTATACAGAGACAGCACAAAACAGGTTAGGGTTGAATAATTTGGGTCCCAGTAGTATCTCAAATATGTATCTGCTAGAACAGATAAGTTGTGTGCAATGTCTACTTCTCTTATCATTCTTCTTTTTTAAAGTCAGAATTGTACTGGTGGTTCTTGTTAGTGTTGAATATTTGTTTCCTATCTAATGCACATTCTCATTCTCTCTCTTTCTGCGGTATTAAAGTAAGCTATATTTTGCATTAGGGGCAGCTTTACCCCCAACTTTCCTTTGTTGCTGGAATAACATACCAATCTCTGGCTTCAGTGAGCTACAGCTGAATGGAGTTTGCTACAAGTTTTGTTTTCATGCTGAACAGAAAAGGCCTCGTGGGAGGTACATTTGTGTGGGTACATGCGCAGTAATGCATGTGATTAGAAGAGAAGAGTAAAGAATGAGAAGTGCACAGTGAGCAACTTCTAGAAGCATTCAATGACTGCATAATGAGCAACTATCTCTGCTGAATATTGATTAGTCAGTTCTGGCAAGGTCTTGCTTTGGGGGGGGGGGTCAGGACTCCTGCCAGCTGCTTTGTGTAAAGGCAAAGCAGAGAAAAGATGTAAACTCCAGAATGCTTGTTGACTTATTGTTTCTGTTTTTCTAATTGGAGAGGGACATTTGGGGCCCATGTTACATGAGACAGAAAAGTGTGGATGTTAAATTGCAAATATAATTGGAACACTGACTGCTAATATATTTGCCAATTTGTTATCTTTTTCTTTTTAAAAAATTATACTGTCACTCTCAAAACTTTTTTGTTTGGAAATACAATATCAAATGGAAAATAATTGACTTTTTACTATGGATTTCATAGAATGTTAATTTTGTGAGATTAAATAATAAAATGTTTAACCATGCATATCTATTCAGAAACAATTTGAATGAATTTAATAGAGTTTACTCAAATAAGTAATGTGTACTTATGTACACTGAGTGTACTTAGGAGTAATGTGCTGGCAGGGACACTTCACCAATGACTTTTTCTTTCTAAATTCTATTCAATCTACTGCTGCAACTAGTATTGTAGTAGCTTTCTCTGTCCCCTGTGCCTTAAGAACTACAAAGTATATTAATGATTTCTATTTCTGGTTAAGCAGCACATGTTAAAACCAAGTAACCTAAAAATGTTTTCAATAAACTACTGTATGTGTTTAGATTGTTATTGTCTGTTAGTCATACTTAAGGAATAATGTTGAAATGGGTTAATAGTTAATGAACAATTATTGGATGTTATTTGGTAATTGATGTGAAATCCTACCTTTTGAATGGCTGGATATCTTTTTTCCCAGGCTGTCTGTCAAGATACAAATACCAAATGTTAGAAAGGGAGAAAGGAACCAGCACAAACAACTCATGTCCAGCCCATTCATCTCTGGTGCTCTATTTTTTCTACTTGTAGAATCACCCATGGAATAAACCTGTCCCTCTGTATGTTCTCCAGATGAGAACAACGGAAAATTCCTAAAAGCATGCTAGTTTTGCATTTCTTTTTTTCAAAGAATTTCTCCATTCTAGGCTGAGGGATGGAGGTTTTATACAAAGGCCCTTCATTCAAACCCATTGTGTGAAAAATAATTATGCTGCATGTTCTTTGTAACCATACATATTTGAAGTCACATTGCAAGAGGTTCCTTCTCACTGCCTACTTGTTTTTTTTTAACAAAATAGAAAGAGATGCAAGAGTTACGGGTGCTTCAGATAGAAAAATAAATCTCCTACATTTTCTACTGAAGTGGGCCCCAAAAGTTTTTAAAGGGCATGGGATGCTGATAATGGGGAAATGCAAAACATTTTGTATGTGTTATTGGTAAAGTGCAAAGGGGCAACTAAGACTGAATATCTGACACAGTATAAGTGTGACTTCCTCCTCTAATTCTCTGAACTCCTGAACTTGTGTCATCACTGTGGCATATTTTAACAACTATTTTAGCCTCAACTCTGTTACAAAGTTTTGATAGAATATCTCCTATTTCTCTCCCCCTCCCCACTTATGCTGGATGTTAGCTTAATGCAGTGGTTCCCAAACTTGGCAACTTTAAGACTTGTGGACTTCTTCAGCTCTGGCTGGAGAATTCTGGGAGTTGAAGTCCACAAGTCTTAAAGTTGCCAAGTTTGGGAACCACTGGCTTAATGGTAGTGTATAGTGTGCTGTATTCTAGGTTCAAAAATTAATGCTATGGAAAGCTGACCAAGCAAAAGACATGAGGCAAGTCTATTGAGAGAGGTAATTTGAATGAACTATCTTTGGAGAGATGTAGGAGTTGACTGAGTGAAAGAAGAGAGCACACAACAGGTTCTGTCATCCTTATGCAGTTTGGATTAATCGAATAACAAGACATCAGTGCTTGTGTGAACTGCCTGTGGCTGGTGGGAATTGTAGTTTCTCAGATTGGAGAAGGTTGTTGAATAGCAAATACAGAATAAAAAAATATTTTTAGTTCTTATAAGTAGTGATTGGATGCAAGGAAGGTGTGACAGATGATTTAGGAACTACTGTATTTCTTGCCATTAATAGAATATATTCATAACACTCAGCCCAGACTTACCGCTACTTGTTTTTTATGAGCATAACTGTTAATGAGATTTTGTCATCTTTTTTAAGCATGTAGCCTAGGTCCACTAGTCAGCAGTATTTCTCCCAGTTCAAGATGGGAGAACAATGAGAATTCAATCAGGTGTGTTTTAAAATGAAAGAATATTTCTACTCCCTCTCTTAAACACACCCTCCTACCAGAGAGAATCCATTTTGTCCTAATATAAATCATATCTGAATGTTACAAGGAATATGAGTGGAATGGTCTGTAATATGTTGTATGTATGTATGCATGTATGCATGTGCTTGCATGTATGTGTGTATGTTTCTAATTTGGTTATTCCTGAAAATGTGGTACTGCCTATAATTTTCACATCATTTGGATAAAGGGTAATTACACTAAACAATTGTTCTTGAGTTGGACTTTCAGGATGAAAGATGCCAATTCTAGTAACCATTTAGAACTGATTTAGAACTTTAAAACTGATTTTTTTTAGCAAATACATAATTTTATATACTTTAAATTTGCTGGCCTACATATCTCATCACTGAGTTCATTCATCATATGAATAAAATTCATGTGGACGGAAGTAGTTATAAATATCATTTAATAAATAATTGTGTTTATCCTTACTTTAGAATGATAGAAGAGACCCACAGATTGTGAAAAAGTAATATTTCTCATTATCATCACTTTTTCTACATGTCAAAGAAATGAAACTACTACTAGAATTTTACAAAGGAATGAGATGATATGTTAAACTGTTTTCTAAATTAGCTTTGGAACGTAGATTATTGTAGACATCTTTTTTAAGTTTAACCCTTTCAACCAAACCTCAAACACCCATCTCAAAAATGGAAAAATAAAAGTTATATAGATATTTGTTCAAATATTCTATAAAATGTGGCTATATTATATTATGTTGCTGTTTCAATTCAGTTTCAGTAAGTGCATTTTGATTTTTTACCAGGAATGCAAATATCAAAATTTGAAATAATGTCTTTTAAAAATAAATGTGTGTAACCTTAAGCACATATATTTAAAAATGTCCCACCAAATTCCAAAGAGCCTTCTCTCAGTTGTTATAGGAAGACAAACTAATGCCCCTATTTCATAATCATTTTCATAATCATTTTGTCTTTTCATATTTTATATCCCTCTGTTCCAATTAGATTTAAGGATTAGAGAAACATGGTTTAAACTATAAATGTTTTGAGAAGTCAGTGTCAAGTTATATTCCAGATCAACAAAAAATGTTGCACTTTTATTAGTGTTTTGTATAATTTCCCTCACTACTTTAAATAAATAAAAGCACATTTTTCACTCCTTACACAAGTAGTTTTCTCAATATCAACTGGTAAGAAAGTTGGTGGGGAGAAAGTACAAATTAGTGTGAGAGGCAGATCTAAGGAAACAGAAGTGCTGTCTCCCAGTGTTAGCATTTGAATGCTTCTCCAGCTGTCACTGAAAGAAGGAGCAGGTACTTTTAGACTCTGGGTTTAATGGTTTTGCAGGAGGCTGAGGAGAAGCATTTTAAATTATCACGTGCCTTATTTCCCTGGAGAAAATCCAACTGATATTTATTTTATCCCCATTCCTTCAGTGCATGTTTTACGACTGTTTCTACATTCCTGACATGTTAGACCAGCAAATAAAACAAATTTAAAAACATAAATTGGCTGCCAGGTCTCAGAAAAACAAAAACAAAGAAAAAATATTCTACATATGTGTAGCATCATATTTGAAATCATTACACTATAATGTTTCCAAGAACAAAATATATCCTGCTTCTGGTGATCTTATGTCAAATGGTATTGTTTAGCAATAAACATTCAAGGAAAAGGGATGCTCTATTGCTAACAGCATGGCCATCCACAGTCTTTCTGTGCCTATGCCAGTCCAGAAGCTGACACAGTCTCTGATGCTACCTTCCTCACCTAGCAACCTTCTCCATGTTGCCTTTGCTACTGTGGACTTTCCCCCTAGCTGAATTACTGAAATCAATCTCTTACCTTACAGAGTTTCAAGATTAGCCAACACACCAGATATGCTGTCAGGGTAAATTTTGCCTTCATATATCTCTCAGGTAAACAGCTAAGATACATTTGTACAAAATCCACATCATCGTCCACCCTGGCTTCACTGCTGCCTGCACCAGCAAAAGCCTCCTCTTGCCTTCTTTGATGTCCCCCTGATGCATTCAGAAACTTGTTGAACTCCATCTTATCAACTATTCCTCAGTCGTTCACAAAGCCACCAGCAAGAGAGAGAGTCCTTTGTTTCAAGGCAGCAGTTAACTCTTCCTGGCCATCGCACGATTTGGCCTCTGCAATCAACACAGTGCTGATGATGCTGGAACAAAACTTCTTAGGTTAAAACTGCTTTGGCTGGTTGCCTTTCTGTTATTGAAAAGCCTCTTGGAAATGTGTGTTCAGCTACAAGATAAATATAGCACTGCCCAGAGAGTGTCAGCACAAGAATACTTCTGTGGTTGCCAAGAGTGAAAAGAAAGATTCCATTTAGTCAAAGTGCAAGCCCCAGCTCCCCCCTGCCCCACATCACTGCCCCCTTGTTCTTCTTAGGAAGTGAATACAAGAAAAAGTGATGATCTATCAAAACTTCTGGACCAGTTTTGTTTCCCCAAATGAAGTCTCAGTTTGGGAAAGAATATCATCCTTGTGGAGAAGGATGCATTTTTGTGCTGCAAGGATTTTTTGTTGTTCTTCTTATTTCTCCCAAACTACAATAATTTGTTGTTTGTTATGGGACCACTTGCTACAAAAGAACATAATATTGATGTTTTACATTCTGAGCACTAATAGATAGACAATGAAGGTCAAATCTTTGAAGCTTAATGTCAGCATTCCAAATATCATCCAAAATTAAATCAGAATTCAAGGCAGAGCTTTCCTCAAAGTTCCAATTTATTGCTGACACTTATTTTTTCCTAATTTTTCATATAGTAGTTTAACAGGCTGTATTTCAGCATTCTCATTTCCTTCTACAATGCCCAAGTTCTTACCTGAAATTTTTATTTCAAAATTTCTACCTCCAAGTACTAAAGGATTGAAGTTAAAATTCTCCTGATCACATGTGCTGTCTTTGGTCAAACATGTACAGTATTTACTAGTCTTTGTGAAGTTCTTGGTAGCAATTCCATAAACCTAATTTATCCTGCCATTTGTTAATCCAGTTCTTGACCTTGTATATTCTCTTTCATGGTTTTTTTCCCCCCATGAACTGGAAATATAGAGCAAAACACCCAAGCTCCCAAAGTTTTGAACTTCTTTCCTAGATCTTGAAAGACTGTAGAGATATGATTATAGCTATTCCTAATAATATCATTTGCTCCACATGAATTAAGGGGAAAGGATAATTATTATTAGATTTAATAAGCTTTGAAGTTCTCATATCTTTGATTCTATACCTGAAAGAGAACACATTTCATAACCAACATGTCTAGTTGTTTTGATTCAACATAATAGAGGATTACAATTACACAAGTTTTCACTTTACTACATCCTCCTGGCCTTTAAGAGTCTAGTACCTTCTTTACTTTTACTTATTGTTCTCCTGAAGGCTCACAGCCTATTTTTTCTGTGAGGACTTTGAAGCTATTTAGGATTCCTCTTTTATTTGATTCTTTTCTATAAGGAGAATTCCTTCTTTGTCAATTCCTCTTTGACGGGATAAATCATATATCTCTTGCTGCTGTGATCCTTAACTTTTTCTCTGAAGAATACCAGAAGCTTGCACATATTTGAAAATATATGGCCAGTACTTCTTGGACACAAATACAGATATGCCATAAGCGCTGCAAACTTTTCTTCTCTTTTCTTCTTTGTTTTGGTTGCTTCAGATTTGAGTGCTTCAGATTCTCTCATTAGGTTCCTTTTTCTGATACATTATTAAGCTTTTTGGTTAAACAAATACTCACTGTTTCATTTCAGTGGAAAATTTGTCACACTGCACTGAATTATAGAAGCACACTCTTCTTTGTTCCATTTATTATCTTCTTCAGTGATGCCTCTTTTTTTTGATAATGTTATAATGATGCAAAATAATAGATTTCATTCCTCTCTCATTCCTTTCAACTGGTTACCATCAACTGATTGTTTGAATGTGATTTTCTTTTTAAGTAAATGCTATCTTCCATGCCAATTGCATGGAATTGTGGGACAGAATTGCTGCAACCATTATTATCAAGCTAGATGAGAATATAAAAACAAAACACAAAGGAGGAGTTGCAGTTACAGGCTCCAAATTCTTGATATTTTAATTCCCATGATAGCATTCTCATAAGAATGTTTTTCTATACTGACGGCTTCTCTAATAATTTCATGTAGCTTGTTTTTTCTATTTATTAATATATATATTATGCTGAAGCATATGAAGATAATCAAATCAAAGAATAGGCAGATATAAATAGAGATAAGTGTATTATTAGAACCATAGACTATATTCCCACTTTGTGCTAAACCATAATTAGTTGGATAAACTATAGTTATCTAGATTCACACAGTATGCTTAACCTTAAGCCACATTATAAAAAAACCTCTGGATTCACACATTATACTAATTCAAAGTCAAAAAGTAACATTTAGACATCAAATTTAGACATTTTAAGGAAAGTTATGGAATTTAAGTTCATACATCTTGTTAACACATTATTTGGTGTTCTTGTTTTTGAATTAAGATTGGTTGAAACTTTGTAGTTTGTATTAAATTTAAATTTACTGACAAAGAAATAAAGAGAGACTAATAGCTACTTCAAGCTTTTTAGCTCTTATCAGCAAGCCATACCTTTCTGGATCAGCTAGCCATACCCTTCTTGAATCCCAGAAGGGTATGCTAGCTGATGAGAGCTAAAAAGCTTGAAATAACTATACTAGTCTCCCTTTATTTCTTTGTTGGTAAATTTAAATTTAACACAAAATAGTTTGCAACAAAAGCAACTGCCTGCGAAGGCTCCTGGATTGGGGCTGAAAGGTGAAAGGGGAAGCAGTATGCTCCGTCCCATATTTGAATAGACAAGGTTGCCCTTATAGACCAGTCTCACCACAAAAAACAATTTTGTAGTTTGTAAATCATGATTTATGGCTTAATAGTAATCATTCATGAATGGTTTACACAAACAACCATTTGTAAAAGAAATCAAGAATTAGTATGTTGTAAACCCAGCCATTGTATGTGACATCTTACATTTCCTATTTCTCCAACATGTCCTCAAAATGTTATCAACATTCCAAATAAGCATAGCCAGATGAGCAGCCTGGAATGGTAGGATGGGAAACATAATCCAGCAAACTTGAAGAGGATCAGTTTATTAGAAAAGTTATTCTATTCAGTGCTGAAAAAAGGTAGTACTAAGCAAGTGTGACAAAAAAGGTACAGATGCACTGAGGAAATGAATCATCCATTTATTTCTTAAAAACATATCATAAAAAACATATTCAAACATAGTTCAAAATTATAAAATAATACAGGCCTTTAAATTATTGCTACAAATGTACCAATGAATTTATTGTGTAGATACGTATATACATAATACAGTACATATAGAGACAAAGATTCAAGTATGGAGTCTTCAAAATATTTGTTTTGGTTTTTTGTGTTTGAATTAATTAAATGCAAGGCAAATCTAATACCAAAGGGAACTGTAAAGCATTTAATTAGTGATATTATTCAAAATACATCAAATGTTCATTTAACTAAAATGTTTTGTTAAGATTATGATGGGAGATAATATAGAATAATGTCTACCATGCATATATAATCATGCTGGTTCATGCAAATAAACACATTCAGCCCATCCTTTATTTATTTTATCATTGGTCTGACCTTAAAAGCAAAACACATTCACATCATCCCTATCAACTCTCCTTTTTTGAAACCCAGTTCATTCTAAAGCTAAATGTGGTTGTATTCCTTTTGTTGGATATTAATTATGGCTATGTTAATTTTTGCTGACATTTGAACTAAATATTTCCAAAAATGTGAGTTTGCTAAATCAAAGCAATGCAAAATTGGTTATCTTGTATTTGAGCACATGCCATCTGAGCAGAATTTGGAACCAAAAGTCAAGTATTTCACCTAACAGAAAAAGCAGAAGACTCCTTAAATACTGCAGGCGTGATTAGTCACATTTTGAAGCATGTTAAGTAATACAGTTTGCCAACTAAACATATAGTATTACAACCAAAATCTAAAGTTATTGAATTGTATCATTTGATTCTTATTATTGAATTAATGATAAGAGATTTAACAATTATTACAGGAGAGGTTTTTTGCAAGCAAAATATGTAAGATTTAAAGATTACCTCAATATATCAGAGTTTACTAATGAGCATCTTGGCTCTATGCATTTGCTAACAATTGAAGCAAGAAGTGTGCTAGAATAAAGTATCCACTAATGAACAATACTTAAAATAACTGTTAATGTTTTATATAAATATCCATACATGTAAGAATATTGTTTGATGAAAGATGGACACAACTTATCACATTCTTAGTCCTTTGTCTTTTATCATGGCTAAAGTTGTGGCTATGATGATGGACTTTGAAAATCTGTTGACAAATTCAAGTTCATGCAGAAAATGTGAACACATTATAGTATAATCTATATCTTCAAAAGGTAATAACAACAGCTCAACAATTCTCATTCTTTCCCATATATGAGTGTGACTTTGTATGTGTGCATCATGTCTTTTGTTCTTCATATGGAAATGGCAAAAACCCAATTCTAATACTACCATGCTATCTTTATGTTTGTCCTACCTATATCTCATTATACTTTTGAAACTGTACAAATTTTGATATTATCAAAATATAGATTATACTATTACAAAAAAAAACAGAATTAGTTAATTATTGGTGATAGACATAGTAAAAGGACTGGACTTTTGTGACATACATCCAGCCCTTTTTTATGGATGGTACCAAAAATTAACATACGTCGCAATATTGTGAACCTGACAGCAAACCTAGAAAGTGTAAATCTCTGTGTGAGACAGAGAGGGAAGGAGGGAAGTTCCCAAAAATAGTCTATTGTTAAAAATTGTATTGGAATAAGGGAGAACTTCTCAATAATAATTTGGAAAGACAAATCAATGACAAAATTAATGGTAGAAATAGTAGAAATTAAATTTTGGCTAACATTTAAATAAGAAATAACATATATCATTCAAGGAAAACTTTCTTAGAATATGATTTTTAAAAGGGAAATAACTAACAGTAACTAGGAAAATTTCAGTGTTTCTAAAGATGTTGATATATCAGGTTCAATGAAAGAAATTTAAAACTATCTAGCTTGCTTTTTTCTTTTGTTCAACTTTTTTCCCTTTAAATAATTATGTGCATCTATTTTTAACACAATGACGAATAGTGATGATATCAATATTAAAATCATGTTTACAATTATATATTTATTTAATTAATGAATAAAACAATAAATTTTAAATTTTATGATAATTGTAAATTATTTAGGTATTTATTGATATTTTATATTTTATTCATTATGTTTCTTAATTTTTTATGTAGCTATTTATTCTAACATTTTAAATGTTTTATTAAAGAATAAATATATACATTATATAATGTAGGTGCCTTATCATCCTCTCAGTGGTTTTGACCATAAACTATTTAATACTTTAATATAAACTAATTCCATCCTGTCATAGCCAAAGTTGTTTGGAATAATAGTTAGGAGTGGATTAGGATTAGCATGATTCAAATTCCAGTCTCTACTTAGTAAACATCACTCAGCCTATCCTACATGATCATATGGGCTTTTTTGGAGATAAAATTGAAGAAGACAATATCACTTTGTTCCTTTCTTACTACATTTTTCAAGATTGATTATATACATATGATTACATACATAAATATGGTACAGATAATGAAAGTTGATTCATAAATGTGTATGAATGCAAGAAAGTATGTTTGCTTCCATTCATATTGTGGACCGTTCAAACAATATTGTTTCCTTGATGAATGGAATTTGGAATATGGCTATTTGTGACAACCATTTAAAAAATGTATCAGATACAATGTTTGTAGTTCTAAAAAAAGGACTATATACAACAACCAGCAAATATGAAGGTTCCCAACTGAAATTGTTCATTCATGCACATAAGCAGGCTGATGATGATGATGATGATGATGATGATGATGATGATGACTGATATATCCACTGTCCAGGTAATATTCAAGATATCAGCTTCAAGAGCCATGGTGGTGCAATGGTTGGAATTAGAATGCAGTATGCAGGCTAATCCTGCTGACTGCCAATTGCCAGCAGTTCAGCAGTTCGAATCTCACTGGCTCAAGGCTGATTCAGCTTTCCATCCTTCCAAGGTCAGTAAAATGAAGACCCAGATTGTTGGGGGCAATATGCTTACTCTGTAAACTGACTCTGAGAGGTATGTAAAGCACTGTGAAGTGGTATATAAGTCTAAGTGCTATTGCTACACATTCTCTGCCAGAAAGAAGAAACTCTACAACTCTGTATGGGAGCTATAGTGCTGAAACTTCAATTGCCTCCTCTATGTTATTACATGAAAAAGCACAGTTATCACTAGTGCCACTATTTATATTTATTCCCATATTTTGCTTTGCAGTCATGTTACTGCATTCACTTAGAATTTGTTTCTTCATTTGTCATAATGGCAGAAATAAATAGGCCCAATATTTATTTCAATATAAAATGGATATCTTCATGAAATAATAATAGTAAGAACAATTAGTAGCACTGGCAGTTATTGAATAATGACAGAGACAAAGGCACATTATAAATAATATCCAAAGCAAACATCAAAATCATCTTAAAATAAACATCAAGTAATGTGGATATGCAATTAACTAACCACTGTAATACAGCAAGTATAATTTTATACATCTGATACAACATGAGGAGAATAGTTCAAATGTTATATAGACATTCTGAGACAAAATTGTATTTATTTACATAGTGCTTAAGCCAATTGATAACATTTTTGTAGAGTGGGATACTCAGTAAGCATAACATACACAGCTAACTTCAAAACATCAATCTTATTCTTAATATGCTATGCAAAGAAATTTTACTGAAGAAGTTACTAGTGATTTCTTGGGATGATGGTAGCCCAGATTTGTTACTGTATTCATATTTTAGTTGGGTTATCCAGACTGAGAGAGACCAGTAAGCATGCCAACAGCAGAAAGGTCAGACAATTCATGGAAGGCTGGCATCGAAATAAAGGAGTCATCAACAAATTGATGGAACTGGATGCACTTTACTCTGTTCAGGTAATTCAAACCATGCACAACCACTAGTTGATAAGACAGACCAATTAGAATAAAACTAACACCATTCCCAATCACCAATAAGCTGATACTTTCCTAGAAGCATCCAATGAACAACTAACCCACAGAATTCAAATTCTGTACAGACTAAATATTGTTAAGAACTCACCATTAATTATTGTACCAAGGAAGCCATACTGGAATATGAGGTAAAATACCCAGAAAAAAATGATCTCTATTTTGGCTCTAATTTTTCTAAGTCTGGAGAAACCCAACTAAAAGTACTAAATTCCTGGTTTAGGAAAGAGGCTCCTACATAATATGTACAGTAAAAATTAATCAAATGAAGTGAAGCAAAAGCAGAAGCAGACTAAAAAAGATATATGCAAGCACTAGGAGAAAAAGTTTGTGCCTCAGAAGAATATTTATTCAGGCTTTGACTTGCAACTTTAAAAACTTTAGTTTGGACATAAACTAATTTAACAGAGTAGAGAAAAAGATTAGTGTCCTGAGAATGCATTCCTTCCAGTGCAAAACATATTGCAACATTAAGTGAACATTCAGATATTGTAGTCTTGGCATGAATTTTCTTTTATATCCAGTGAAAATCTGGCACATGAATTAGAACAGGGTCATCATTGTTGCCGAGCGCGAAAGCAGCATTTGTCTGTGCACATATCTTTTTACTGCTGCTGTTTCACATGTAATTTCTTCAATCATGTTAGCATTATAGATATTATAGAAAGAAAAATTATATCCTGTATGATTGGAACTAATACAACACTGTAAATCCATGATGGAAATGAAATCTCTTGCAGAACATTCTCCTTCCACTTGAAGAAAGACTTTATGGCAACAGAGATTTTATTTACAATTCATCATATTTAACAAGTCAAATCATATCCAAAGGGGGTTCTGATGAACAAAAAGAGTGCCAAGTCTGAAACACAAAACTAAATTCACTCAAAGTTTACCTCTCAGAAGACACTTTTTTCCCAGCCACTGAGGCATCTAGATAATCTTAGACTCTTAACAATAAACTCCTCTGGACAGCAATAGATGCAACTTTAACTATTTCTCTTGGAAATAGGCACCATGTTCTGGAATTATATTTTCAAAGAAAAATATTAAGAAAACCATGCTCTTGCTCAGCTGACCAAACTTTGACTACAATGCGCTTTTAAAAGAAGAACAGAGAACAGCTTTGTACGTGCCTCCAATCTTCCTGATGTTCATTGCTCTGTCATTTGCTCCCATAACATGAGATAGTGCCCTGGCATTTGTTTTTGAAATCCAACTATAGTAACCCCACTCTTCCCAACAGAGATCCTGATATGGGAAGTGAGATAGATGGAAATAAAATTAGGCAGGGGTTGACACAAAGAAACTTCAAGAGCATAAATAGGAGGGAAGTTCTCACATATATAATATTTACTGCTTGAATCTCATTTTCCATCTAAGTTTTCCTATCAAATTCAGGAGATGGGTTTTAAATACCTCTAATGCCTGATATTACGTGTACAGTAGTTTGGGCTAATCAGCTGTATTGTAGATGAAATCACATGGGCTCAAATGATTAAAATCAGGCACAATGGTGAATCGTGGTATAACCAATAGTATTAAACTGTATTTCAATGGAAAATGGTCTTTAATCTAGTATTACATACATATCGCCATGGCTCTTTAGGAGTCATTCCCTGATCTGAAAAAAGACTTATTTGTGAGCTGAAGTACAATCAAGAACTGTATCAGCCATTTGTGGTGGATGGGAAAGAAGAAAAGTGAAAGCTGGATGCAGATGCATTGCTGATTATCATCATATTAGCTCATTTCTTGGCAAGGTTTCATCTATGTTAAAAGTTATGAAGCACCCATTTGCATGCAGAAATCCTTAAATGTTTAGGAATACATTCATTTGCATCCATTGTATGCAAACAACAATCTTATCTGGGCTGGGGTAGTGTTTTTAATAGGAATCGTGGCATATATCCTTACATGTTCTGAAATTTCTCAAAATTGCCCACATCAAATAGAATTATGAGGAAAGGATATACCTGTATTCTAAAAATAAAAGGCATTTACATTTGACTCAGCAGGACCAGTTCCTGAATCTAGGTTTCTCCTTTCATTTGTCAGATGCATTCAATGAATAAAATAACAAGAATATTCTATTATTTAAATTATTTAAATCCAAATTCTTCTGGTAGGAGATTAAGAGGAACACGATTATCCACAGATGTATCTTCATTAGTTTTCTGTCATTGGTGGCACCAGTTTCTTACCTCACTTGAGAAGAAATTCATTTTTTATAGAATGGAGAGGAAGGGCTGTTTTCTTTAGAGTTATACCTGGAAAATGAAGAACATATTTCTTTATTATATAGTGTTTTAATAGACCACATTTACAGCTTGGACTTTGTCAGGAGTATTGTGATTATTATATTATGAGGGCAAGTGATAGAGGAATTCTGTTCTACAATTATATTGTTTCAGGGAAGAATATTACATTGATCAAAATCTATTTTATTGTATATTCAGAATATATTGTTTACCACATAAATAACTGAACTGAAAAAAATGGTCCAATAGTGTAACTGATGGAAGTCTGTTCTCTAACAAATATACCCCACTTGTATGCTACAGAACATACAATACCAGCTTCTTCCTCAAGTTGACCTATAGCAGTAGTAGCTACTTTATACCTGTTTATGTAGTTGTAGCCTTTCAAAAAAAAAATGGGACAAGCAACTTCTGCCATTACATTCCACAATTTCTAATATTGTTGAATACAGATAAAATATTATACATTTAGAAACCAGAATGAGAAATGAAGCTAAGCAATTCATTATGCCTCTGATTTCTCGGTACCTTTTCTCTAACATTAAAAGGAAGAAAATAATCAGTTTTGTATGAATTTGGCATGCCCTCTAAAACTGTGTTATTGCTTCAACACATACTCAGCTCAAATAGTTTGAATTATAATATGACTAACTATATACAAGCCCTCATCTGCAATGCAGGACAGGAAAGATGAAAGGTGGGTTATCATATGCAAAACTGGACAATGTTTCCTCAAATAAATAATAATTCCATGCAGTTGTTTATAAAAAATCAGGGTTTGTGATCATAAGAGCTTGAAAATCAAATTCAGATGAATATATTAACAAATTTAAATATTTATTTTAAATTTTAAAAAGTCTCCAGCCAGACTGTTCAGAGTATTGACAAGAAGACTTTGCCTCCCTTCCATGAGTTAGCCTACAAAATGTAATATGCAAAACCTTCATACAAAATGGCTGGGTTCACCATAACTAAATCATGATCTGCCTTAACCTTGATTTATTCAGTGGTAGAGGTAATATATAAGCTAGTGGTAGAGGTAATATATAAGCCAAATGACTGGGTTCATGTTAAGTCCAATTTCTAAACAAATATGATACATAAGGCTCATATATGATATACAAGGTACCAGTCCTTGTAGCAGCTAGACTGAAGCAATCCCACAAAGCTCTAGCTCACATAAAGCAAATTTTATATACAAAGCAAATTCCTTTTAGGATACTTTGCCAGGTGTTGAACGCATTATTGATCATGTCTGCAAAACAAAGGAAGTCAAAGTAAGATCATAAACTCAGTCATGATTTTCTTTACTAACAACTTTGCTTAACAACCAAGTTGTCTGTCCCAACTGTGGTCACTAAATGAGGAAAATTATTTCTTATATAATTATTAAATTATTTAGTGCATTTGTTCTTGATCATGGTTAACCTTTTTTAGTCCTCCCTTTCAATTTTTGCTTTTTGCTAGTAATGCTAGTTTCTAAATTTTCTTCTGCTGACTTTGTTTTTGAACATACTTTGTTTCACAATTGTTCTTAAGTCGTTATGTAGGAGTTGCTATTTGTTCTAGTGTTTTCCTATCCGTTAAAAGTTTTTAAAAACTGCATCAAAAACTGGGGGAAATGTAGGTAAACTTTATTACATTTTTAAAGTAAATATTTAAATGTATTACACTTAAAATTGTATATTTATATGTAAATATGTAACTAAAGAAGACTGTCAATAAGTTAAAATAATCTAAAACACTGCTTTACACAGCAAATTGCAGAACTACAGGGAGAGGTTTGTAGGTTTGGTTGGTGTTGCTTTTGTTATTTAGTGCTATTTTTTCTATTATTTTCTTTGCCACTCCTTTGCTTTGATTATAACTTAATTGTCAGTAAATAAATTAGATTCAAATAATGTTAGAGATATCCTGCCTCTCTGCTGATAAATAGGTTGTAACTGCTTTGTTTTCCATAAGAATTTACAATATAAAAATACAACACATGGGAATAGGTAGGTGCACATGCCCACCACTTGCACAAATGGAGCTGCGTTCATGTACACTTGTCAGCCACCAACACGGAACCATCCGTCTTGTCTCCCCTCCCTCCCTCACCAGTCTACAAAGCTGAAAAGGTTAGGGAACTCTGCTGTAGAGTAATAGAGAATAGGTCTTCTTGTTCTTCTATGTGACTTCCTGTCAGATACATAAATAATGATGTTATATTCTTCCTGTCTTCTGGAAAAACTGTTTTTTCAAAGATGTTTTCTCCATTAGTAATGAGAATACCAACACAACAGAAAAATTCCATGACAAGAATTTTCTCTTATCCCTTGGGGTTTAATTCTAATATGGAAAGATTGCTTACCAGTGCAGCTTATGTAACAGGGCATATCACAAGGGCATTCCCCCTCATTGTTCATGTGGAACAGCTGCTGTTTCTGGATGGTCTTCAAGAATAGCTCCATACAGTGATTCTGAGGAGATTCTTTCACTCCAGGACAGAGCATAACTGGCACACCAAGAGCAGTAGCAATAGCATTCTCTGGCAAGTTTACAACCTCAACATATTTCCCCCAACAATCTGGGTCTTCATTTTACCAACATTGGAAGGATGGAAAGTTGAGTTAACCTTGAATCCCCTCATGATCGAACTCCAGACTGTGGGCAGAGTTGACCTGCAATACTGCATTCTAACTACTATGCCACCAGGGCTCCTAGCTGAACCTGTGCAAAGGCTACAGCTGTTACCTGTTCATTGAACAGGAGCTGAGGGTCCAGCAAAACACCCAGGTTGCACACAGATTCCAAATACAGTACTAACCCATTTAAACCTAAAAATAACAAAGTCCTGGAACTAAGAGAATCAAACCACCAAAGCCATTCTATCTTGCTACAGATGAACCTGACATTACTCCCTACCCCAGCCAGATCCCAACAATCCAATCAATTGCAATTTTTACTCCAGTTTTAATTGTTTTCAAGTTTATTTAATCCTGTTACTTTTTTATAAATGTTTATTGGTTTATCACAATATAAAATACAAAAGAAAATAAAAATAATGTGAAACTAGGCAAAGGGGAAGAGAAGAGAGTATGGGGTAATACTAGCCATTTCTATAACAATGAACCTATCTAATCATTAAAACAACATCAAAGTTTCATTTTTTTCCATCACAAGCACAAAATCCACAAGTGGTTCCCAAATGGAATAAAAATTAGATATATTCTTTTCTTTAAATCAAGAAATATATTGAATCTATTTAATCCTATTCCTATAAAAATCTACAGTTTCTTAAAAGTTATCATAAAGATGTGTATCCATTTTTGTGTGCGTTTGTCTTAGCATTTACACTTTGGTATATAATTTGCCACTATTTATACTTTTCCAATTTACCAGTAACTTCCTAAAATGAATTTTTTACATAAATTATCTTCAATTCAAATGCATATATTTTCTAGAGAAAAAAAATTAATTAAAACAATTCAGAAACCTCTCAATAGCAAAATGTAATAATGTTTTTGTTGAATTTGGCATCTCCTATTAAACTAGAAGATATGCCTCAGGCAATTTTCCTTTTTCACCATTCCCATTTTCATGGATTGTACAATCAACCACAAAACATTAAATCTTCTCCATATTTGTCCTTACATCGTTCTTGAGTCCATGGCAGCCTATTTTGAATAATCTTTAGGTAAATGCTATGGCAGTAATTTATTTAAAATGTTTAATTTGAATGAAAAGAAAGTATGTGTATCAGTATCAGTCTATGGCTAAGATCTACTCTTTCGCTCAATTCTTACTTATGTTAATATAAAGATAACTCTGTTTCTGCTATTTGTGTCCCATCCCTTAAATAAAATTGCCACATACCCTTTTGAACGCATATTTTCCAAGAGAAAGAAAAGGTGTGTATAACATATCCTGACTTCAAGTCCGTGGCAACCGTTTGGTGAACTACTGCCAGAGTTTGCAAAGCCAGCTCTCTAAACTTGTCGCCATGGAAACCTGCCTCTGCATAGAGATGTAAGGAGTTATTTTGAGAAAGGTCTGCAATAATGCATTTCTTTTTCTTTTTGTCTTTGATCACTATAAGGATTGGGTGGCAGTTAAGAGGCTATAATAATCTCCATAATATGTAATTGAACCAATTGTGGGGAAATCCTATTTTAAACCTAAATATAAGGATAATAAACATCCTTTAGCCAGGTCAGGGAGAGGAAATATTGCAGGAATGGCAAGCAGTGACCAGGTTAGATGCTAGCAGTACGATGAGTCAAAACCACGGCTGAAAGAGTGATGTTTAATGAAGTATAAAATTGTTTAATCTAGCATCTTTTTTTTCCCTGTCTGGGCAGATGCTAGATGACGCTCAAACTACTGTCAGAGCCTTGGGCCTACCACTAATCAATATAGCTTCTCTAGTTAGAAGATAATAACTGAGGCTTATAACAGAGATGTGTATCCTGTATCAAATCATTATCAGGGCAAAGCATTTGATGTCAGATGTTCAAATACGGAATCCCCACCCTCAGCATTGCTTTTAATACCAGCTGTACCCCTCTTTCCGCAGCTGTGCATCTATTTGGATATGAATAAAATTTGATGCATCACCAGGAACTTTGGTTTACAAGAAACTTCCTACCTTGAAGCAAATCTTACCTGAAGGGACCTATGTGAATGGACCTGACTATCTTATGTGTCTCTGTATATATGAACTGAACCAGAGGTGGGTTGCAAATCCCAGCGCTACTGGTTCACTCCTGCTTGTACACACACACAACACTTCTGGGCATGCGCAGAAGCATCCGGACGAGTGGGCAGAGCCTCCTGCCGCCACTATCAGCTCACCTGATCTGGGCCAATCCGGGAGCAATGCATCTCTGAACTGAACTATATTCTCCAGAAAATGCTATTAGAAAGTTCAGTTACTGTACCATTTTTTAAAACTGATCCTTGTCCCTATGTTTTAGTGGCTGCCTGAAACATAGGCATTACCTCAGTGTTTCTCAAACTTAATAACTTTAAGTTGTGGGGAGTTCATCCCCCAGAATTCCCCAGCCAGCAACTTACAATCCACACAACTTAAAGTTCTGAAAGTTGAGAAATACAACATTAGCTAAAAAAGATAAAAGCCTTGTCCTATTGACCAGGAAGCTGAGGAGAAAAGTTTTCAATCAATGTGTGCTACTTGCCCTAATATATATCAGTGAAACATGTACCTAACCTCACAATCGATATGAAAACTGTGAGTGGTGCAAACAGACATGGAAAGATACACACTTGGCATTACAAGACAAGATAGAAAGACCTGCACATGGATTACAGAACAAATGAAAGTATATTATATTAAGAGAGTAAAATAATTGAAATTCAAATGGGCTGGTCACATAGCAAGAAGAATTATTGGCAGGTGGACCAAGGCAGTCATAGAATGGATTCCCACTTCATAAAAAGTGTCCACAAAAGAGACCAAAACAAGATGGATTGATGACATCAGCAAGTGCCGGCCCAATTTGACAAAGAAAGCTCAGGACCATATAGGTTGGAAACAAGCAGAAAAGACTTCATCCTGCAGTGGATAGATAATAGCTAAGATGATGATGATGATGATTAAAAGCTGCATTACGGCATTTCTATAGTGGCTCACAAAAAGCATAACTGTTATGTGCAATTGATTTCTAAATATTAGTTATCTTTCAATCTGCTTTGCTTCTACATTTCATGCTATATAGCACCATCCTGGTGCAGTTTAGAAAAAAAACAACTTTTCTTGGCTAGTGAACAAATTAGGAATCTCTTGTACGTCTTTTCGCAAAATAATTGCCATTATGGTGGACTTCCTCATACACAAAATGATTGCATCAATTGGTAGTCAGTCAAAAATTTTCAAATTTACCAGTAGGAAAATTGATAAGATTGCTTCCTAGTCTTTTCTCTATTCCCAGACGACCTCTATGAATAAGTAAAGTAAAAGGTCAAGGATCCCCTCGCTCATATGTGCTAGTCATTCCCGACTCTAGGAGATGGTGCTCATCTCTGTTTCAAAGTTGAAGAGCCAGCACTGTCAGAAGATGTCTCTGTGGTCATGTGCCAGCATGGCTAAACGCCAAAGGTGCACGGAACGCCATTACGTTCTCACCAAAGGTGGTTCCTATTTTTCTACTTGCATTTTTACATGCTTTCAAACTGCTAGGTTGGTAGAAGCTGGGACAAGTAACGGGAGCTCATTCTGTTATGTGACACTGGGGATTCAAGCCACCAAACTGCTGACCTTTCTGATCGACAAGCTCAGCATCTTAGTCCCTGAACCACCGTGTCCCCTATGAATAAGTATATTTATGATTTTAAAAGGTGCTATCATTTTAACCTGAGATCCTTTCTGAGATACTGGCATCAGTGACTAATCTTCATGTTTTTCTATAAATTGAGATTACTTTAAATTATTTTCCTACTTCCGTTGTGAAGAAACTTTGAGCCTTTCTTTAAAAATTGGAAAATAAATAGCAAATGCAAATGCCAACTATATTAAGGAGTAAGATCTGGATTGTTGTTCACAATTGTATTTCAGCTTTGAGAAAGAAATTTATTAACTGATAAACCTCATCACACTTCATCTGTTATCTTTCCTGTCTAAAAACACATTATTAACATATTAATGGTATCAAATAATGTGTTCTTTGTAAGAATATAAAACAATTTACAAAATACTGGGGGAAAAATCTTAATGTATGTACTTAAGGTGTAAACATACACAGACATTCAAAATATGGTAAATGAAAAACCCATATCTGAGGTGATCCTAAAAGTAATCTCTATGTGAGTTGAAATCTGGATATATCACAAGCATTCTTGTTGAGCTCTAGGTCCTTTCTTTGAAATATTTCAAGTAATAAGTGTTTAGCAGGTAATCAAAAGCAATTAGTCAGAGATGTGCTAAAATTACTAATAGATTAAATGCTGATGTAACCAGAGATTACACCAACATTTTAAATCAGCATTTATGATAAATCTTAATGTACACAGTATCCTTTCTCAGACAGCAAAACTAGGTGGGGGAGGGGAAAGGAACATTAACATTGCAGTCCTATACACAGTTACAAGCCCCACTGGCATTTAATTTTGCATAGCTTGTTATAGAATTGCACTAACTGAGAGGCAATTTTATTGACAACTGGTGGCATGCTACAGCTGCTAGAAAAGAGCATATTAGAAAATGCCCCAAGTTCTATAATGTCTGTTTGCAGTACATCTCATGAACTACTGTTGCAGGCTGCAATAGAAACAGAAACATAAAAAAACTAATGGGAGTGGTTCATCAAGTTTGAGTTTCTATTTTCTTTTTAATTAACTAATATTTTAATATTTTACTTCATTTTTTATTGTTGTTGCAGGATGGATGTGTTTATTCCAAGCATGTTTAAACTCTATTACTCCCGATTGACTCTCTACTTCTGCTGGAAGTTGATTCCAAGTTTCCATTATTCTTTCTGTAAAGTAATACTTACTAATATTACTCTTGAACTTTGCTCCCATCAGTTTGAGGTTATGCCCCTGTGTTCTTTGTTTTTGCTTAATATTGAAAATACTGCCTTCTAGAATGTTTTTCACACCCTTAATATATTTATAGGTTTCAATCATGTCACCCTTTTCCTTCCTGTGCTCCAGGCTGTACATATTCAGTTCCTCCAATCTCTCTGATATATTTATATATGTTTATATTTATCTCATAAAAATATGGCATCAGGATGTCATATATTTATGAGATCTTCATAACTGTTTCAGTGGCCTGCATATAGAAGTGTAATAAAAAATAATTAATTGATGTTAATAAAAATGTTGTGTAATTAAATCAATCATGATTTAGTTCAACATTTTATGCCCTTTCCATCTGTATTGAGAATTTATTTTTCTTTAAAACAAATATAGTATATTTCCCATTGTCACTTATTAAATAAAACATTAATATTTCTAAAACTAATTAATACCCTTCCCACCTATGAAATAATTGCTTTTTCTCTACTTTTCTATGAAAGTTGCTGGCTAGTTGATCACTGAGCATGCTCCTTAATATTCTGTATTCTTATTCAGGAAACAGAAACCAGGAAATAGCCAAAAAAGAATCTTTATCTGGCCACACAACCACCACCACCCTCCCATCACCATCCCGCTTTTCCCTCCCTCCCTTTGCACATGTTGTGTATCTATGATGTAGTGAGTCATGAGACACGCTTTATTTGATCTCACATAATATGCAAGTCAGATCATAATATGCACACTTGCTATATATGTACCTTTCTACATGTTTGAATAATTAGTAATTAAAAGCGATAACAATTGCTTTTTCCTTAGTTTTTCACAAAAGATATATTTGCTGTGAAGTTCTATTAGTAAACATTGAATTATGCTTATTATGCATTGAATTTCATTTGAAAATGAAATGCTTATTTCATTTTAGACATCAATGATGTTTTGGATTAGGGATATTGATGTGTAGTAAACCAGAGAAGTTGCACATTGGGAGAAACTTTCTTATGTAAAGAAAGTTAAGATAACACTTTACCCATATGAATTTAGTCAAAATTCTTTTCTTAAAAAAAAATCAAAAAGCAATTTAATTTTTATCCAGCTAAATGGGAACTGCTTAAAATATGAGAAGTTTGTGTGTTTGTGTGCAATACAATCTTAGTTTCTGGTTGTGAGGGCGATCTGGCTGCGACATCTGTCACCCCATTGATCGCCAGCATTGATTCTTAGTTTCAACATTAATTATAGAAATATAATTGCATGTGTCAAATTACTTCTGATTTATTTACTCCACAAATGGTCAACATAAGTCATTTCCACATGAGTAAGCAAAAAATAATTACAGAAGAATGAATTTTCTTATATGCCATAAATGTCTAATATGGACATTACAAACACCTAGATAACAGATTTCTTGTTTTTGCAAATACGTAAATGCATTTCTTGTGATTTATTTCTCTTTCTCTTTTTAACCATGGAGTTTCAGAAAGGGAGTAAAGAATAAAGGCATAATAATAATAATATAATTCCTAAACATATTTGGTTAGCCTTGTATTTTTTCCTCAATGCAAGATTGATTTTACTTCAAAAACTCACCTTATTTCAGCCAGTTACTCCTGGTTTTTCTCCATTATTGTCCTGTCTTTGACATCATCCTTTGAAAGTGAAGCAACCTGTGGTAATACTTTACACTGTAATTTTGAATAGCTATCAAAAGGCAGGTCAGGTTGTATAATCCCTTGATTGTATGAATCCTTCCCCAATGAACGGAACCTTTTGCACAAAGATTGTGACAATTGATTGGCTGAATCTGAGCAAATGGAACTGAAGAATGGTAAAAATGTAGGTCTGCAAATGTCTGACATTGGAGAAGACTTCTGAGTATTACGTTCAACTCTGAAATCTTTGATGTAAGACAAGGCTTGACTATTCAGTTGAGCATATTCAAACATTAGTTTATTCTTTGTAATTTGACCCACACGATCTAAGATACTTAAGTTTTTTTCATCTTCAGAACAAATGATATTTTCTTTCTGACTCCTAAGATATGAAGACTTGGCATCAATTGTTGTTTGAAGATTATATTGGCTTGCATGATGGCCAAGAACATACTTTGGCCTTGGGGTTATGTCAGTATGTTCATTTTGTAACTGAGATTGTTTTTTAAATTGAGTTGTTGTTGCTATGTCATTGTTCATTTCATTGCCAGTCCCTTTATCTTTGAAAGGCTTGCTTTTAGAATCATAACCAATCTTTAAAGAAGCAGCTTGAGTAACACAATGTTCTAAAAGCTGCATTATGTCAGTATTATTCTCCTCTGAAGTCTCACTAACAGGACCTTGAGAATGATCAAAGCTCAATGGCTCCATTGGATCCTTACATTCAACAGACCAGGATTGATTCTTTAATTCACTGTTATCTTCGGGTTCTAGAGAATCTGGAGAAGTTGCTGCAGTCATGTAAGAAGAACATGATTCTGCATCATGATTATCCATAACAATGTCACAAACTGAATCTTCATTTGAGACTTCTAGTGGCAGAGATTCGATGCTAATATCTGTACATTCTTCTGAGAGAGACACCTTTATTTCAGATGAATTTACCAATAGTTCATCCCAACTGTCCTCTAGTCTTTGTCTGTCACCTGGTGTGCCATTGTCAATTGTGAGCTCAGACATGACATTCACATTTTCTTCTCTTTCAAGAAAGCTACATGCATGGCTATCATTTTGATCATGTTCAATTCTTTTTACTGAATATGTCTGGCTTCCACTTTTGATATCAGTTGAAGATGCCCCTGGATTGCTTTTATTTTCTTTAAGATCTGGGATGCATTGAGACATTGACTCATCATCTTTTCTCATCTGTGTCTGAGGATTATTAGGAAAGTCTTGGGAGGAAAACAGTCCTGGTTTTTTTCGCAGCCAATTGATAATCCCCATGGTCAGGGAAAGCTCGGTATCACATAGCTTAAGCAAGCATTCTTTGCCCTTCCATGTGCTATGAAGGAATCCCTGACTGATTATGTCAATAGTTGGCTGGGAAGCCATATTTTCTTCTGACCCTACGTGAAAGCTGTAAATTGATAAAGGTATCTCAACTGCCTTTTCTGAAATGCTTTCAGAGAAGCATAAATCATCATCTAGAACTGGACTGATTTGATCTTCATTAGGATCAAAAAATAGTTCATACAGGGCATCTCCACTGTAACTGTCTCTTGGAAACTGAGTTGGGGTTCCAGGGGATTGAACCTCCCTTATTTCATCATCATGCCCAGGAGTAAATGAATCATAATATCCTTCATCACTAGTTGACATAGATTCCTGGTTGTCACTCTTTGGGGTCCCTGTATCTATGGAGCTTTCTTTAGAAGAATCAGGAGAAGAAAGCAAGTCAGTCACTAAGCCTTTGGCTTCCTTCTTTGCTTTTTCCAGCTCACTGGTAGGTATAGTCAGCAAACTCCTATCAAACAATGTCTTCTGGTGCAATTGCACAGATTTATTGATATTGTCCCAAAGTTTGGAAAAATCAGCTGCTTCATTTTGAGCTGGGGAAGCAAGCTGCTCTACTCCTCCTTGAAAGGAACCCGTGGCAGGATTCTCTTTTTGGTGAGATTGTCTAAACAAAATTTCTTTGCTGACCTCCAATTCCATATGAGCAGAACTTTCATCTGCAAAGATTTCTCCACATCCCGTGAGAGAATCAAAGCTTTTCAAGGAAGCAACATCTTCACACAAAGTACTTGAATATTCATATGAAGACTCAGACTGAAGTTCACCATCAGATAAGTCTTGTGCCAAGCAGTCAGTAGAAAAGGTTTCACCAGCTTTGAATAAATATTTACCAAACTTTTCTGCCAATTCTGACTTATAGCCTGGAAATGCCCTTTTTTGCTTTTCTGAAAACAAGGCAATATTCTCAGGCTTGTTTTTTTTAATATGAAAGATATCTCGGAAACCTTTTTTGGACCGTTTCAGGGAAATTCTCTTCCTAGGTATGCTTTTGGCAACAGCTGGCACAAAGGGCATTTGGGGTACAAAGTTGCGGTAATCAATCATCTGTTGAGGGCTGTTCAAAAAATGGCTTGAGTTAACCACAGATTCTTTCTTGCCACTAGAATGTTGGGTGTTTTCAAGCCCAGAAAAGCTGGCACTATTGATGAGTCTTCCTTTGCTTTTTTCAGAAGCTAAATGTTCCTCTTTCAAATTTTCATCATTGTAGCTGCATGGTTCAATTTTGTTTATTCCTCCTAGAACACAGTCATGGGTTTTGCTTTTCTTAACAGGCTTGTAGAAAGATTGGGGTAGCAACAGTATACTCTCACTAGAGCCAGTTTTTGTTAATCTGTTGGGAAAACTGCCATTTTTATCTGCAGAAAAAGTTGCTTTTTGAATTTCAACATCAAGCTGGCTCTTCTCTTTTATGTCTGCTTTGACATTATCCTTTTCTCTAGGATGTATGTGCACTAATGGTAGCTTCTCATGAGTCAGATGCATGCTAGATTTTATGAAAGTTTTTCCTCTTTTGAACTCCATTACAGCTGGCCCTATAATTAGAAAAATAGAATAAAACTTAAAGGGTATGTACCACATTACCTTTGGTGGAAACATAACAACATTACTTATCTGTGATATTTTATCTATAATGAGAATTGCAGATTTATAAAACAAACCTGTTTAAGTAAAGGAGCAAAATACTTAAGTATCTCAAGTAGAACTAAGTAAAATAAAATATGCCATTTCCTTTGTCCTCACATCTAAAATGTCAAGGGTTTAGGAAGAACAATTGTCCATACATTATTTCTAAATCCAATCCAGATAGTGGATTGGCAGGATCAAGTGGAATTGATCAAGCATTTCTCCTCATCTCTTGTCTCTGCTGATATATTTACTACATACTTTAACATTTGTGATTGTAATATTTCAGTGTTGCTTTGTAGAACAACTACGTTTTGTGTGCAATACATTTCTATCAGCATGCTAGATTCAACTAAGACTATCAGGTCACTAAGCTCTTAAAAATGTATCCTTTTTAAAAGTTCATGTCAGCCACCCATTGATGATCCGAAATCCCTTCTACTTCAGCATGACTTTCTCAAAAACAGATGGCTATTCTAGCTGAAATATGTTCTTATGAATAGCACTGTTCTGAGACTAGCTTTTTTAGATTAGTTAGGCCCATGTATAAATGCATATTAGCTCTTGTTTATGAACAATTTTGGAAATTATAATTAAGTCCACAATTTTCATCTTAATTCAGAATATGTTAGACCAGGGCTAGTCAACCTTTTTATACCTACTGCCCGCTTTTGTATCTCTGTTAGTAGTAAAATTTTCTAACCGCCCACCGGTTCCACAGTGATGGTGATTTATAAAGTAGGGAAGTAACTTTACTTTATAAAATTTATAAAGCAGAGTTACAGCAAACCCCTACCGCCCACCATGAAAGCTGGAATGCCCACTTGTGCGTAGGGACCAGGTTGACTACCACTGTGTTAGACTAAAGGTAAATATTGGATTCAAACTGACATGCTTATGCTTAGATAATGCTCTTTGAAATCAGAAGTGATTTGAAATTCAAATTCAAATTACAATAGTAATTATGAGTTTGTAATTGCGATTCCAATTATTCCCATTGATTCCAACTAAACAAATGAATATTTAGTTATTGTTATTTATTGTAAGTTTAATACATATTACAGTTTGATATAATATTCTCTGTAGCATATATAATACTCCTCTGGAATAGATTGTTTTCTGAAGCATAGATACCCCTACCCCTGGTTCTTCCACAGGACCAGTGGTGGGTTGCTCCTGGTTCGGCCCGGATAGGGCAAACTGGTAGTAGTGGCAGCGGGAGGCTCTGCCCACCCACCAGGATGATTCTGCGCATGCACAGAAGTGTCACGAACACACAGGAGCATACACAGGAGCACATACAGGAGTGTGCCAAACTGGTAGTAAAAATATCGGCAACCCACCACTGCAGAGGGCCCTCAGAGATGCTTTGTATCAAGCGATGTTTGTATTTCTACAACTAGCTTTGCATTCTTAGTTTTTTCAATCAAATAAAGGAATAGTATGTTTGGGTATGTGTGCATATCTACTAAACAAACTATGTCAATACAACTTCCCACACATTTAAAAAAACCCTCCTTCCATGAAGCAGAAGTTCTTTTTAATTTCATTGGTTCTCTTGTCATTTTTCTCTCTTTGGTAAAACAACATTTTCATTTCAACTGCTGTAGGACAGCCCCTGATTTTCTCACAGATGGATCAAAACATCTGAATCTCCTTTGGATTGTTTTTCAAACAAACAGAATACTCATTTTTTAAAAACCCAATTCTTTAAACTGTTAAGCTTTCATGTTTGCACAAGTATTAATCTTTTTAGAAATGTAAAAAGATTTAAACAATGGTTTAATTAAATAAATGTGATTGTGTAGTTTGAAAAAACCCTTTGTTGTAACATCTTAATTTCTCTCCTTGAAAAGTAGAATACGCAATAGCAGCATCTACATTGCTCTTTCCCCCTTTTCTTTCTTTACATGCATGGCACTATTTCTAGATGATCAGCACAATGGATAGTGCCTTATCTGGTACCCTGACTAGCCATGTAAAGAAGAGTTGCAGTAAATTACTCATTTGCTGCAGTTGTGAAAATGGCCAGTTGGAAAGGAACTGTACACTGGAATGTGGGGGAGGGATTAATTGATTTCACATCAAGATGTCTCTTGTGTGAAAATTCTGCACCAATTATTTATAAATGTCTCTGCCTCTCCTCCCTCATGTCTAAAGCAGAGGGATGTGTTGCTCTTGTTTTTTTCCTTCACACCTTAAGGAAACTTGCATGGCATGCGACATATAATATAGCATCCAATCTCTAGCTTGTCTCCAGAGAGAAAGCCCCCCCCCCCCCCCCGTGACTTGTTTGCATTCACCTGAGAGAAAATCAGCATTTCATTACTGGTTACATATAGCAATCTGTTGTACAAGGGCATAGAGTATTTATCCTACCAGATCTCATCATCTTGCTGTTCAGTTTCTACACAAAGAATGTGTGCGTGTTGAAAATATGAAAAAGAAACAGTGGCAAGCAATTCATTCAAAATAATCCTAAACACTCTAGCACTGACAAAGAAAAATAAATACACCACACCCCTGCACCAAAATGTAGCAACCCGTTAAGGCAACAAAAGATCGCACTCACCATGTCTTATTATGCCAGCTGCAGAAATCCTTATTACTACATCCTTTTTACTGAGGCTGTTGTGTCTTTATATAGAAGCTCATGAAATATATTCAAGACTCGTAAGAGCTGATTTCTTCTCTTTACTGGGATTTGCTCCTCCCTCTCTCTTTTTTCCCCTCCCTCTCTCCCCTTCTTGCTTCTTTTAACCAATCTTTCAGTCTCTTCAGGTATTAGATGTCATTCTCTGCATGAATTTCAAATTTTTACATGTAGCCAATTTTAGAACAGTGAGGTTTTTACAAGCCATCTGTGCAGTAGCTGATGAATACTGACTGCTATAATAAAATATATTGTTGTTCTCTGATAATTACACACACATACACACACACACATTTACACAGATTGTAAGACTGATTTTCAAAGGCAATAACTAAAAGTGTTTTCTAATATATATTATTAACTTATGTGTTTTACGGATAATAGCTGGTTATTATGTCCCTTGCTAAGATGTGCTTCAATCTGCTGATTAGGGATTTTAAAAAAATAATTGCTATTGTTTATACAAAAATGTATATAATGCAAGAAATATAATATCAACCCTAACATGGACTAAACATCATGCAACTATCAATAACATTGGGTCTTTTTTGTCAATCCAAAACTTTAAGAGGGGGTAGACATACTTTTGTATATTTAAATAACTGCATATTTGCTAATTTAATAAGATTCAAATTAATTATCATTAACCTGAAACAAACTATTCTAAATAATCTAAAAGTATTCTCAAATGTTTAAGGGCATAGTTCAAATATGCACAAAACTGTTTCCTGATACATAATTTGTATAGGCATAAATGTTGCTCCGTTCACAGGGAGTCAAGTACCATAAATGCAACTTTTTATAATAATTATTTCTAATACTAATCACAATGATTTTCCAGCTTGAAGTACAAAAGGGATTTGACCACAGAAACCATTTATAAATCTAGCTAAAAACATATTTAAATATGTTTAAAACTGGGCACATATGAGTAAGAAGGATTTACATAGTTTTCAGGCCAGCACTAAGACGCTAATCTATTGGACATATAAATTTTAACATTTCTTAATATCAGGAACTCATGAAAATACTTAATATAAATTAAATATATGAACAGACTTGCATGAGAAAGGGGGTATTAGTCTTTAACTTGTGTTTGCACTTGGAACTGGAAATAGAACAATAACCTTCATTTTGTATATATTTTGCACCAATTTACTTCAAAAACATCTACTTCTGCTTCATTGACTATGCTAAAGCATTTGATTGTGTGGATCACAACAAATTGTGGCAAGTTCTTAAAGAGATGGGAGTATCAGACCATCTTACTTGTCTCTTGAGAAACCTATATGCAAGTCAAGGAGCAACAGTGAGAACTGGACACGGAACCACTGATTGGTTCAAAATTGGTAAAGGTGTCCGGCAAGGCTGTATACTGTCACCCTGTCTATTTAACATATGCAGAGCACATCATGAGAAAGCATCATGAGAAAGGTGGGGCTAGATGAATCAAAACTTGGAATTAAGATTGCTGGGAGAAATATCAACAATCTCACATATGCAGAATGTACCTCTCTAATGGCAGGAAGTGAAGAGGAACTAAAGAGCCTCTTGATGAGTGCAAAATTGGCTTGAAACTCAACATTAAGAAAACTAAGAGCATGGCATCTGGTCCTCTCAATTCCTGACAAACAGTTAGGGAAGAAATGGAGGTGGTGACAGATTTTGTTTTCCTGGGCTCCAATATCACTGCAGATGGGGACTGCAGCCAAGAAATTAAAAGACACTTGCTCCTGGGGAGGAAAGCTATGGCAAATCTAGACAGCATACTAAAAAGCAGAGACATCACCCTGCCAACAACAGCGGGTATAGTCAAGGCTATGGTTTTTCCAGTTGCAATGTATGACTGTGAAAGTTGGACCATAAGAAAGGCTGACCATCAGAGAATTGAGGCCTTTAACTATGGTGCTGGAGAAGCCTCCTGCAAGTCCCTTGAACTGCAAGGCAATCAAACCAGTCAGTCCTAAAGGAGATCAACCCTGACTGCTCTTTAGAAGGCCAGATCCTGAAGATAAAACTCAAATACTTTGGCCACCTAATTAGAAGGAAGGACTCACTGGAGAAGAGTGTGATTCTGGGAAAGATTGAGGGCAAAAGACGACTGAGAATGAGGTGGCTGGATGCATCGAAGCAGTAGGAATGAGCTTAAATGGACTCCAGAGGATGGTAGAGGACAGGAAGGCCTAGAGGAATGTTTTCCATGGGGTCACGATGGGTTAGACACAACTTTGCAACTAACAACAACAACACTTCAGAAATTCACCCAGGTCAGCATAGTCTCTTATGGAAGCAAAATGTTTTTCTAATTAAATAGCCAGACTAATGACAGCAAAATGAAAGATAGAAAGTATTTTTTTAAATGTACCGAACACCTTCTTTCTCTACTAATATAATTGTTCCAAAACAGCTATAAGCCAATTTACAGGAGGACAATCAATGAGGTAGTGGTCAAAATCAAGCTGCATACTTGCAAATAAATTTTTCATTTGAAAACATTTCTATTCAATAGTTTCTATAATCTGAGAGAGCGTCCCCATCTCCCTTTGCTGCAAAATAAATAGTGTGTTCTCATTTTCTCTTAAGCAACACACACAAAAATGATCCAATAAAGGTTTGGGGATGGACCATATTGATGGGGTTGTCCTCATCTTAGAAAAACTGTTGGAATCATCTACTTCTATTTTATGAGTATCCTATCTCATGCTGGCTAATAAGACTCACATGTCACACAGCTCTTGCACTTACCCACCATAAAACATGAGCCAGTAACCTCTTTTTTCTACCACATTCAATCCAAAGCTGAAGCAACTTGCAGATATTCCTCGTAGTTAAAGTAGTGTTTTTCTCCTAAAGAGGTAACACTTTTACTATGGGTGCAATTTGATGTGCTTCCAAATTCCTGTGTGTGTCAACTCTCTGTGCTGCTCTCCAACTTAAAGACATTGATTAGCCAAAACAGCTGGGATGGTGGTAGGAGATTGCATGGAAAAGCAAGACTCAACTTCCCCTCTTCTGCTTTATAATATAACTTGCCCCATACTTGTCAGCTGCTAGTTGGGGACTAGAAGAACTCCAAGGTCCCTTTCAACTCTGTTATCCTATTCTTGTGAAAGAGATTTCATTGTGTTTCTTATTAGAAAACGCATTAGCTATCCGTAAGATTGGTGACAAATCTCAGTCAAAATCACAACCCTGAAGCCTTCTCCTTTGTGTTTCCTCATCTGCTGGTCAGAATGACTGAGATAATCTGACTCATCAGCTTTGCAAATCACAATATGGAAGCCATTTCAGATGACAACATGTGATCCTGAATTAATTTGTTTTTTATGTAAGTGCTATTCTTCAAATTTCCTGTTGAGTCACTGAAAGCTCCTTGTCATAATGCTTCTCAATTATAAATCATAAACACCCAGCCTCCTCAGTTTAGCCCACTTCTTCATGTATTGTCATTTGATTAAGTTCTTGATATTTCAGGATGCAGCTAAAACTGGCAGCCACTGTGAAAAAGAAATCACTGTGGACATTGCATGAACAATAGCAGCAAAAGCTTCCAAATGTAGTTTGTGAAACAGTTATAATATGTAGAACCATTGATTACATGATCCTCTGCATTGTGACAGCTGTAGAAGTGTCAAACAAGAGTATGGAGCAGGCTTATCCTTATTCATCTGATAAAGCAGTGAAGAGACCTAGGTACAAAATTATTAATACAGATGCTTTTTGCAGCAGATTCCAACTGTAGGCCACAATAAGGAGTTTTGGCTAACACAGATTATCTAATCATTTTGAGATAACAAATAGAAGAAAATATATAGAGCCTTTTTCCATAGCCTGGATCATGCCACAATATATAGCAGACATTATGGCACCAAATAATCAGACATAGTTGCTACTCAGCAAGCAGAAGGCAATCAGGGAGCCAGGGATACAGAAACCGCTCTTTAAATACTGTTAAATACCAAAGTGGAAAACTGAAGTACTAACTGTGAGAGGAGAAGCAAAGAGGTAGATCTATTTTAGTGAACCCATATGAAGAGATTTATTTTACATAAATTTTAGATTGCATTGCCTTCAGTTTTGAGATTAGAAGCACTTTTAAAAAACACATGAATATAGTTAGTGATATATTTATTACAGTTATATAACTGTCCATATATCATCCACTATATGGAATAGTTCAAGGATGGGAAACTTTGTATATATTGAGAGGGCAACACAAAGAAATCAAGAACAAACTGAATTGCTATTTCTGTACACACACCTACCCGTACACTACACACATCCTGATGGAAACACAAATGCATCCATTCATTATTTACACAAGACATCAAGGAGATCTGAAATATTGTACTCATCTGAAATAAAGATAACTCTGAATTTAAGATTATTCCCCTCCCCAAAAGGAGAGTAGATTGCCCTGGGTGTGTGTACATGTTTATACATTCTTTCTAATGTGTGCAATGCCAAGCTTTACTACTGAACTGAATTGAACAGAACAGAACAGAATAACCAAGTTTGAAGGGACCTTGGAGGCCTTCTAGTCCAACCCTCTGCTTAAGCAGGAAACCCAGCCTAAACCATTTGAGACAAGTGGCTGTCCAGTCTCTTTATCAATCTAAGGTTGCCAGCCCCTGCTAAATCCAATCCTGGATATTTCTTCCTCACCAATAAAATATGGACATGTGCTAAAATTGCATCTGTATATACTGTACATTTTCCTGTCTATATTTAAGTATCTTAAATACAGAAGCTACACTTCAGAAAGGCATATAAGAAAATAAATGTATATTAGTTGAATTAATAACTACTAATTAAAATTTATTAGTTGCAAACTAATCTTTCTCCCTCTAAACAACTAGTCTCTGCACATTCTTCTTCCTTCTAATAGAAGCAATAACAAGGTAACACATAGGATGAAGATGATATAAAAGGAAAGAATAGCTGCATTGGGAAGGGAAGGAAAAAGAA